GGGTGTTCGGTGCGGGGCCGCGCGCGTGACGGTCGCAGGCCTCGGCCCGCCTCGCCGACGGTGACGGTCGGCCGCCGGGGGCCCCGGGGACGCGCCTCGGTGAGGTGGAGACCGGTCCGGCTCCTCTTTCTTGCCAGCGACGGAAGCTTATTTAATGTGTTTATTTATTTTTTGCTCGTAAAGTAGGCGGTTGATTCTGGCACGGCTGGGTTTGGGATTTCTAGCGAGGTGATGTACGGTACCACGCGGCCCGTAGTCAATCTGTTAATGGTGGATGCTTCCCTCCTGAGGCCTTCTTTGCTGTTCTCGTTTGCACCTGGGAACAGTTCCCAGATCAGATTTCTTGAAATGATTTCGGGTGTTGATGGCGTGATTAATCTACTATAAGTATATACTTTTGTTGAGTCTCAGATTTCTTGATGTTACATAGTTACCTGCTGAGCGTTTTTGGTCGTTTCTCGTGCAGGAATGCTGTAAAGATTTCTGCTTGTCCGGTGTTTTGGGAGCCATTCTCAAGTTGCCTGTTACCAGTGAAAGAAACGAAAACACGGTGTAACGACCCTATTAATATGCTGGTCGTTTAGCTTTGAAAATAGTAACTCGTAGCAGTTAACAGCATCATACTCCATTTTTCATCTGCTTTTTTTCTTTTTTTCGGTATGGAAATCGAACTCAAGACCTGACCTTTCCCTTGCCAGGCAGTCATTGTGCCGCTTATCTGTATCTCCCGCCCCCAATTCTTGAAAAAAATCGTAAGCGTAGGTGTTAGTGTAACAGAAATTAAGTTTCTTTGTGGAAACAAAGTAACTTTTAAAAATCACTGTAACAAAGTTGTTAGCAAGACAGGAGTCCTACTTCTGAATGCTGCACCATAACCACTCAACAAATAGCCTTTTAACATTTCTCATTTTTAAAAAAATTATTAAACCATATTGTAGAATAAATCTAAAGTGAGCATTTTATGGAAAAAGACTTGGCAAGTTTAGAGACTGGGCGTGCGGCCGTGCGCCTGTAATCCCAGCTCTCTAGTAGTGAGACTCTGAACACCCTGTAGGCCCTTCCCTAAAATACAAAAAAAAAAAAAAAAAGACTTGGAAAGTTCAGGCTAGCCCATACTGTATAGCTAAACATGAAAATTATGCATTTGACTATATCTTGGAATAGTATTGGATATAAAACAGAAAATAAACAATGTATTGCCATTATGTAAAGCTTATTATATAGGGCTAAGGAGATAGCTCGGTGGTCTAAGCGCCTGCCTGGCAAGAAAAAGGACCTGAGTTCTATACCCTTACCCATGCCCACACCTATAATCCCAGCGCTGGGTAGTCCCAGCTATGTAGCGAGGACCTTGTACCAAATAAATAAGAT